CACACCTGTAATCCAGCTAGACAGGAATATAGCTAGAAGGATCACACAGTCTAAGGCCAGCCATAGGCAAAAAGTGTGAGTCCTGTCAAAAAATAACTAAAGCCAAAAAAGGGCTAGGGCATGGCTCAAGTAGTACAGCACACCTCCTAGCAAGTGCAAAGAGTTCAAATCCCACTACCACCAAAAATATAAGTAAGTGAAAGAAAGGAACTGATACTTACAAAGTAAGTATCTTAGAATACTATTTTATGGAATAAATTAGGAGTTTAAAATTTAAGGTATAGTTATTAACAATTAAGTAATAAAAGGAGGACAGGGAAAAGAAAAAAAGAAGGAGAAAGTATATAGGATGAAGTTTAAGAAATAGTGAGAAATAAGATGCTGAAATATGTACAGAGGAAGACAAAACAGAAAGATAAAAACACAGCAGCAAAAAAGAAAAACAGAACAAAGCAAAGCCTGTCCATGTTCCTCTTGGTGGAGGAGGATGGTAGATCCCCATCCCAGGTGGGTGTTTGCAGTTTACTTTGAGGGCAGGGCAGCTGTTTTTTCCTCTGAAGTCCCAACAGTTGGACCAGAAAGGACTGTTTGGGCCAGGCATGTGGCACCACCCAACCCTGCAAAGAAACAGAAGGAGCTGTTGCAGGTTGAGTGAGTTCTCCTCCTGGCTCCTCTTGAAGGAGACTCCCAGCTCTCTTTCCACTCCTGGTAATAACTAGGTCACACCTGGTGATGGCTCACAGAAGCTCTGGCTTGTTCTTAGCACTCTCCATGCTAGTCTCAATCTGTGACTCCGATTCCAAGTCCCAACCAATTCTTGGGTCCACGATGATTCTTGGGCTGGGTGTTTGCTCAGTCAATGGAAGGGGCGCAGCCTTGAGGTTTGGAAATCTGAAGTGCAGGTTTTCTGCAATCCCAGGCTGAGGTTTGTCATGATACCATTCCTAAAATGCCCCCTTGGGGGCACCAGTGAGCAAGCAGGAGGTGCTAAGAGCTCTGCTCCAGTGTCTGTGCTGCGCAAGACGCAGATCACATTTTTTTGCAGAGTGTCAGTTTGTGTGCCTGTGGGAATTTCCTGAGGAGGCTTTCCCTTTTTTCTTTTCCTACAGCCCCACTGAGGGAGGGTTCTCCTTCCCTACTGTTTTGCATAGCACTCTATGTTAGGGTTCTTTGTTTCTTTAACAACTCTGAAGTTCAGTATTTCTGGATTTCCTCTGGTCTCTACTGTTCTTGCTGTCTTCCCTTGCTTTTCCCCTCCACCTCCACCTTCTCCTACAACCCACACTTGGAGTTTGGTTTCAAATTCATGAAGACACGGGAAAATAATGAGTGTGTCTACTCTGCAGTCCTGTGGACCAACCAGTGTTGTGTTTTGCTTTATTTTTGCTGTCCTAAGGATTGAACTTGGGGCCTTTGCTCTGTCATGTGAGCCATGCCCCTGCTCCTTTTGTTTTACTCAGGGCCTCATGCTTGTTTGGCATATGACTGACCACTTGAGCCACATCCCCAGCCTTTTTTGCTTTGGTTATTTTTAATATAGGTCTCACATTTTTTGCCTGTGCCAGCCTGGACCTTAATCCTCCTACTTATATTTCCTACGTAGCTAGGATGGCAGCCCATGACACCATGTCCAGCTTGTCTGATTGTTAAGACAGGTCTTGCTAACTTTTTTGCTTAGGCTGGACTCAAACCTCAATCCTCCAAATCTCCCAGTTCTGACTAGCTATGAATTTGAGGCATGGTAATTTTAGTTTTGAGATAGGTCTCACTAACTTTACACAGGCTGGCCTTGAACCCAATCCTGCCTCTACCTCCCAAGAAGCTGGAGTTAATGTATACGCCACCACACTCAGCCTTCAGTTGTTTTTAATCAAGGTATCGCCTATCCTTTAAATAGTTTTATTTCACTGAAAGCTGCTATCCTGGATATTTTGTTTATTGTTTCTGTATTTGACCATGGGACCTTTTACCTGCTATTTTTCTTTGTCTTCTTTGCTGAAGACTCCGTGCAGCCTTAAGAAATTGTGCCAGGCTTGCCAGCAGTAGTAAGTGCAGTGGTCTCTGCCCTACAGGTGGTTAAGTATCAGCTTGTACCCATCACCTGAATCCATGTTGGGGTCTAAAAAAGCCTGCCTGCGTTTCTTAAGCCTCAAGAAGAAATGCTTCTCCCACTTATTGAACCACCCTGTTGAGGTCCTCAGATTCACGTTCAAGTTCTATGCAGATGCTCATCTACTTATGATGGGGTTATGTCCTGATAAACACATGGTGAGTGAAAATGTTGAAAGTCAAAAGTGCATCTATGGCAGGTGTGAATGTGCATGCCTATAATCGAAGGAAGGTTGACAGTTTGAGGCCAGCCTGGTAACATAGTGAGACTCTGCCTCCAAAAAAAAAAAAAGTGCATTTAATACATGTAATCTACAAACATGAGAGCTTAATTATCCTAAGTGTGCTTGAGAACACTTACATTAGCCTCCTGTTGAACAGATCATGTAACACAAAGCCTACTTTAAGATAAAGTGTTTTTAAGTAGCTCAGGTACACACAGATGGACACTTTTGCTGCAGGGCTGGGAGTTTATTTATTTATTTATTTTTGGTACTAGGAATTGAACCCAGGGCCTCGTGTATTCTAGGCAAACACTCAACCACTGAGCTACATTCTGCAGCACCAAGGATAGAGTTTTGAACTCAGGGCTCACACTTGCAAAGCAGGCACTCTACCACATGAGCCACACTCCAGTCCATTTCTTTCTGGTTATTTTGGAGTTGGGCGGGGTCTCACAAACTAATTTGTCTGAGCTGGCTTTGAACCGAAATCCTCCCAATCTCAGCCTCCCAAGTAGCTAGGATTATAGGCATGAGCACTGTGTCCAGCAGACAGGCAGTAGTGTTTAAAAACACAATATCCAAAAAATGCTGACAATGAAGTATACTGCAGAGCCATAGTGTAACCCTCAGGATTATGAGCTGACTGGAAACTGGTTTGCTGCTATTGTTCTAGCATCAAAAGAGAATGTTACTGCATACTGCTGGGCCAGGAAAAGAGCATAATCCAACACTCAAAAGCATGGTTTTTACTGAATCCACACCCTTTCACACTATCAAAGAGTTGAAAACTCCTAAATCCAACCACAGTAAGTTAGGGACTGTCTATATTTATTCTCTCTCTGGTGCTCTTTACTGATCCTCTGTCCTCTTCCCAGAGGGAAACAAAGTCATTTACAAGCTTTTCAGTCACTTCTCTTACAAGCTCAAGGTCTTTCTCATTCCTTCCTCGTCCTACCTGACTGAAACTACAGCAAAGTTTGCTGGTAGGTAGGCAGGGAGGACAGTAGGGGCAAGAGTTCCAACAGTCATCACCCAGAAAACTCCTCTGCCCTTAGAATGAGTGAAAAATATTCCAATTTGCCATCAAAATAAATGTGTTCAGCTGGGAGTGATGGTGCACACTTGTAATCCCAGCTATTCAGGAGGCCGGAAAATCTCAAATTTGAGGCTAGGCCAAGCAAAAAAACCTGAGACCCTATCTCAAAAACAAACACAAACAAAAAGCTGGGGTGTGGCTCAAGTGGAAGAACACTTACCTAACATACACAAGGCCCTGAGTTCAGTCCCCAATATTGCAAAAAAAAAAAGGAAAGAAAGAAAAAGATAAGTATTTTCAAAGAGGGTAAAGAAAAATCTGAAGAGACTTTCAAAAGGTATGAAAAAACTCCATTTGTTCACAACTACCTAAGTGACCACTATGTACAGAGCAATGGCTTGGAAACAGAAACTGGTCACCAGTACTCATCCACATGGTAAGCACTTGGAAATAGGCCACAATGATTTTCTGTTGATGTTAGTGTAATAAAGTTTAAAATTTTAAAAGAGCAAGCTTTTTTAAAGCTGGCTCATGCCTATAATCTCAGCTGAGATCAGAAGGATTATAGTTGGAGGCCAGCCTTGGCAAACAGTTTGTAAGACACCCCCCCATCTCCAAAATAATCAGAGCAAAATGGACTGGAGGTGTGGCTCAAGTGGTAGAGCACCTGCTTTGCAAGTATGAAGTCCTGAGTTTAAACCCCAGTATCACCAAAAAAAAAAAAAAATTTTTTTAAAGAGTGAAATGAGAAAGTGATTCCCACTATGTATTCTGTTTATCATTAGACATACTTTTCAAAGAAGAAATGGCCATTTAAAAATAAAAGAAATTAAGGTCCTCATAGGTATTAAGTATATGAAAATTGTTATCTTCTTTTTCTTCCTTTAAGCTATTTTGGTATAGAAGTTCAAGTAAAAACTGAAAAGAAAGACAGGCTTCCCCTTCCTCTCATTTTTACCAGGCCTTGTTCATTTCCTTACATCTTATTCTGCACCTGGGAAACCATCAAGCTGTGTCATACCATAGCTATACATTCACACACAAAACCCAAGCATATGCATGTTCTCCTTTCAGCTGAGGGAGTTCAGGTCATCCAACAAACTCAAAATTCAGTTGAAAGTATAGAAAATGCAACTTTTTATAAAAGATGAAACCAATAAGAACAGAAGAAAGTTAAAAAAACATCTGTTAAGGCAAAGGAGAAAAAGAGAAAACAAAAAAAGTGTCAGCATGAGTAGAATTTAGCAAGGTGTCAAAGATGGAGAAAAGGTTAGGGAAGCAGAGCCTCTGTGGCCACAAGACTCTCCACGCATTCCACTGTCAGTGTCCCCACTACACCCACCAGTTGAAGAGTTAGCCCTGAAGTCCAAGTCAAAGCTGAAAGATGACTGACATGGTCCTCATGCTGCGAAATAGAAAGTTTCACTTGTTTTCCAGCAGCCAGACTGGGGTGCTTGGGGTGTTTACCAAGAGTATCAAGAACATGGCTAGGTGGAGCTCAGGGGAGAACGCCTGCCTAATGTCACAAAGACTCTGGGTTTGGGTACCAGCTCTAGTGGAAGGGGGTTGTTGTTATCAGTTGTCAAAGACAGTAACTGCAAATCTAATAAAGGATTTTTTAAAGTACATACCTGTTCTGGGCCACAAGGCATTCACAGCAATTTCACCTTTAAATTCTTCTGCCATTCAAGCACACACATAGACATACCATACTTAGCAATGGTATAAGCTGAAAGAAATCACAAAGAATAATAATTTAACTGAGAGACAAATTCGCTTGTGAGTAGAAAAAAAACAATATCTGCCAGGCATGGTGGTACATGCCTGTAATTCCTGCACTCCAAAGCTGGAGGAAGGAGACTCTCTAGTTCAAGGCCAACCTGGGCTACATGGTGAGACCCTGTCTGAAAAAAAAAAGAAGAAAAGAAATAACCAATTTTTTGTTACTATTTTCTTCCTGATATATTTGTGAGAAGTCTTTTCAATAATATAAAATAAAATTTTTCAAATGCGCTGCTTTTTAAAGAATAATCTTAAATAATTAAATAGAGATGAATCAGTTTTGTATTATTTCCACCTTAATATTTGAATAAAAGGAAAAAATAATAAAATTTTCCTTTTTTAATACTTTTGGAAATCAAGTATTGTTTGGGTTTTCTGTTTTTGGTAGGACTGGAGTTTGAATCAGGGCTTTGTGCTTGCAAAGCAGGCACTCTACAGGCTTGAGTCACACCACCAGTCCATTTTGTTCTGGTTATTTTGGAGATAGGGTTTTGGGAACTATTTGCCTGGACTGGACTTGAACCTCCCAAGCGAGTCATTGGCACCCAGCTTAAACTACAGGATTTTTTTGTGTTTGTTTCCTTTTGAAGTTTGGGTTATCTCTGTGTTTTTTATTTTAGCATCTACTAAGGGAAGTGGGTAATTTGGACTCTGTTTGAGTACCCTTGTCACTGCCATTCTGCTTCTAATGCTTTGGAGCTGGGGATCTTTCTTGGAGGTTCAGATGTGGCTGCCTTTGTGTGGGCCAGAGATTGCCTGTGAAAGAAACCAATGCCCGTTTGTTCTACTGGGATTCAGTCCCAGTAAGCAAAAGGTTACCAGGCAAGGCTTAGGGATCTTATGAATTACATGTTAAAAATCACTTTAATATCTAATATATACTACCTTTTCTTTTTGGCTGTACTGGAATTTGAACTCAGGGCTTCACACTTGTTAGGCAGGTGCTCTACCAATAAATCACTCCACCAACCCTTTTTTGGTTTGGGTATTTTTTGAAACAGGGTCTCTCCAAACATTTGCCCAGGTTGGCTTCAAACCACAATCCTCCTCATCTCTGCCTCCTAAGTTGCTAGGATTACAGGCGTGAGCCACTGGTACCTGGCTTAAACTACTGTTTTTAATCTGCTTTTTTTTTTTTTTCTTTTAGGAAGCCCAGGCCAGTGTGTGGCTCAGTGGTAAAGTACATGCTTAGATGTGCAAGGTTTGGTTCCCCATCACTGCAAAAATAAAAAATAACACCAAAAAGGCTGCAAATTCACTTAACCTAGTCTGTTAGGGCAGAAATGCTTTTAGTCTTGTTCTGAAGATCCACTTTCCAACTGCCTTTCTACATGTTAGTGAATTACATTAAAATAAGAACTACTTATCTGATACAATGATTTTTAAAGGAGGTACCAGTACATAAATCCAACTTTTTTTTGCCCAGACTGACCTCAAACTGCAATCCTCCCAGTCTCAGTCTCCCAAATAGTGAGCCACCAGCACCCAGCTGGTACTCTATATCTTGATTTGGGTAATGCTTATATAGGTAAAATTCATTAAACTAAACCATTAAAATTTGTGCATTTTATTGAGTAAATTACATTTAAAGTTTTTAACTTTGGATAAATGATTAGGAATCTAATTTCCAGCTGGTCATGGTGCTTCATGCCTGTAATCCCAGCTACTCAGGAGGCCAAGGAGACAAGAGGATCACGAATTCAAGGCCAGCCCAAGCAATGTTAGCAAGACCCTATCGGAAGGAAGGAAAAAAGGAATCACTTACTTTCCAAAATCAGTAAGTATACTAATTTGGCACAGAAAATTCAAACACTGTGTCTAGATTTCCTTTACGTAATAAATATATAGATACATTGATTTAATTCAGAGCAAATCAACCAGACAAACCTTCCATCACTCTGCCACTTACCACAGTGCTGTTTGAACCAAACTGGATTTAGGTTCAGGGGTGGGCTGAGATTGAGGATATGAGCAATTTTACTCTTTTTTAAGAAGGAATACATGCTTTAGATCTGCAAGTGAAAGAAAACACAGGTCAAGTCAATGCCTTTCTAACAACTGCTCTACTTTTTGAAGTTTATGTCAGACAGCTCTGGTTCAAATCCTGATTCTGTCCCATCATTGTACAACCTTGGGCAAATTGTATAGTAGTCTAGTTCTCAGTTGTCTCTACTACACATGTGGGTAATTAATATCCACTACTATCTAGGATTGACCAAAGGATTAAATGAGACAAGATACTTCAGACAGCGCATATACTGAACATGAAATACACAACTGCTATGGTTAGTGTTAGATGTGCTGAATTATTTCAGCTCAGTAGGCATAACACTGATACTAGGACCGTAATTTACTAATATAACTCTCAGTACATCCCCAAATTTAATTTGTACCAATGCAAAATACAATTTGCCCTTGGGAACAATATATAACTTTTTAAACTTCTCATAAAATGCATAATTTATTTTATAAAAGATTCATTTTAACATTTTTAAAATTTGTAAGTATTAAGCTCCAATATCTAATAGCAAAGAAAACCATGTGACAGCTTAATTATTTCATCTTTATTTTATATTCAAGGATATCTAGGAGTATGGTTAATCCATTCTTCTTTCAAGTCAATTTTTTAACTTCCAAATGTACAATATTCATTATCAACTCCAACATGTTTTCAAGCTTAGAAACCAATACGACCAATACCACAAATACGGGGTTTTTACATATACTTTGAATTTTCATACATTGTGATTTTCTTCCCAAAGGTGCCCCACTTTTATGGGGATGAAGTGAGAGGGAACAAACAATATTACAGCTCATTTTCATTAAAATAGTGAAACTGCACCTCAAAAATACCAATAGGAAACAAAAGTCTATTCCAGACATGAGACTGTACTTTTACTCAAGAAAAGCGCTAATTTCACTTACACTATGAACACGAGCTTCCCTGGATTACCAGCGAGGGCCTCTCCATCTGCACTTTGCTAGCCTGGCCTCCAATATCCCTAATCCCACTCCGAGTGCACTTCTCACAGCAGCAATGTGTTGAAAACTCTTACCACTTAGATCCTAATACCTCAGCTACTGAGCAGAGCGACTAATGTGGTTCATGTCCACTTATAATGTAACTACGTGGGTTCTCTGTGCAAGTCCTGTGGTGCCCCCGCCTTGTCTGTGACTCACGTGAGGTAGGTGCCCCTGGTGTTGACGTTCATCATCAAGTCCACTCTCTTGGTAGGGGTTTCCAATGTGTTGGTCAAGCTAATAGCACTGGCATTATTCACCAAAATGTCAATTCCTGTTTCCAAAGTAGTCAATTTCATTTTAATACAAGTGAGACTTCATAATGCACAGAAAACAGAAGCATTCACTCTATATCACTGAAGCCTAAATTGACTCACAAACATGTCTTCCTTTTAGATAATGTAATTGACCAATGTACCAATGTGAAACTCAGTAGTTTGTTCAAAACAACACCCACAGGATTTTTATGGCTATACAATCAGGAGCCAGGGCTCCCTGGAAAACTGCAGGAGGCTTAGGCCTTAGGGGGTTGCAGCTACTCGTTCTCTTACCTCCTGATCTTCTCTCCCTGCCTCCATGAACCTTAGGCCAAATTCCTCTCTAGCATGTCTCCAGGGCCCATGCTCCCTCCAAACACACCAGTCTTCCCCTTGCCCCCACCAAGCCCTTTCTTAAATGGAAAAGGGTTCTTAGTCTTAGGAACTGAAAAAAGAGAAAGACCTTGAGTTTCAACTCCAGACAAATGATCAAAATGCACTGATTTTGTTTTAGTGACTAATATACACACACAAAAAAATCATAACAACCATAATTTCTTTCTTTCTTTTCTTTTTTTTTTTCCGCAGTACTGGGGGTTAAACTCAGGGCCCGGCAGGCAGGTACTCTACTACTCAAAACACTCCTCTGGCCTTTTTGCATTGCTTATTTTTAAAGACAGGGTCTCGATGGCTGCCAATGGATCACGCCTGTAATCCTAGATATTCAGGAGGCAGAGATCAGGAGGATCACAGTTCAAAGCCAGTTGGGGCAAATAGTTCTCAAACTTATCTCAAAAAAGCCCACCACAAAAAAAAAGGTTGGTGGAGTGGCTCAAGCTGTAGGCCCTGAGTCAAACCCCAGTACCACACACACACAAAAAGGTAGGGTCTCACTTCATGCTTAGGCCATCCTAGACTGTGATCCTCCTATCTGTGCTTTCCTGTGCACACCACCATGCCACCATTGATTGAGATGGGGTCTCATGACCTTTGAGGTATGGGTTGGCCTCAAACCACATCCTCCCAATCTCCACCTCCGAAGTAGCTAGGATTACTGACTTCAGCACTGTGCCCAGCTGAAAACTATAATTTGTGTATTCTCTATCCACATAATATGTCCTTGCTTATAACTATATGCTTAGTGAAATTCAATGAAAATTATAAAATACAAAACTATATCAAACAACTCCCTTTGTTTCTGCATGATCTTCGTGATTCTTTTAAAGGGCATTTTGTGATGCTGCAAAACAGAATGAATGAACTTAATGTCACTGAATTGTGCATTTAAAATGGCTTGGAGGGTAAATTTATGTTATATGTATTTTTACCACAATTTTTTAATTTTATTTATTTATTTGCAGTACTGGAGTTTGAACTCGGCTTCACACTTGCTAGGTGTCTACCACTTGAGCCACTCCGCCAGCCCTGTTTTGTGTTGGGTATTTCCAGATAGCGTCTCTCTAACTATTTGCCTGGGCTAGCTTCAAACTTTGATCCTCCTAACCTCTGCCTACTCAGCAGCTAAGATTACAGGTGTGAGCCACCAGTGGCTACTCAATTTTTTTTAATTAAAAAAAGAAATGAGAAAAATGGAGATACATTTAATGTTTCATCAAATAGAAATATCACAGTTTCTACTTCCAGAGTTAAACAGTTTCAAGGAATATCTGTTATCCTAAGAATATTTTCATTCCCCTCTCTCAAAATATGTGTGTAATGATTAAGCAAGGTTATTAAACTCGCTAGAATACTTTAGTCATAAGCATCCTGTCTTCCTTGACAGGAATTTACAATGTTTTGATCACATCTTCACTTGCTAATTTCCATGTCCTTCAGTAGAGTCTGTGTTGCTAACTTTCCTTAAAATGTGTTATTAGACTAACTCTAGATTCAGCTATATTTCATTTTATACCTTCATTATAACAAAATTTAAACTTTAGTAAATCGCCTATATATTTGAGATAACTACTGCTTTCACTAGTCAAGAGGACATAGGAAAAGAATTTTTAAATCCAGGACACAGTTCTCAATACCACAAACTCATCAGTAAGAGATAATCGCTACCCTACACAAGGCACTCTGCTAGGGCAGAAGAGACAAGAACAATACCAAGTACAGGAGAAGCCAGGAGGGAGCAAAGCAAAGGGATGCTGGATGGATGGGTGTATATAAAACCGTCAGAATTACCCTTGAAGAAAGGAAGTCAGCAAAGCTGTTCAATCAAATGACAAATCAGACTTTACTGACTTCAATCTCTCTTCACAAGGCATAACAAAGGACAAGTATGTTGCCAGGTAAACATCT